AGCCTGAGCGGCCGGTGTGCCAGCCCACAAGCAAGGTGTGTAGTTCTTGGGCTGCGCTGCCTGATTTATGATCGCCTAGATCTAGATCTAATAGAAAGTATCTGAATAAATAATAATAGGGAGGAACTCAGTAACGAGCGACCACTATCATGAAACAGAGTCGGGGCTGGAAGTCCTTCCTAATTACCTAATAGGCATACAATAGCCTTGTCCACTGTCATTGAATTGTAATTGTAATGATGATGGAACGGTGCAAACAAGAACAATAACAATCCTTGTTAGTAGAGTTACTATCGACGAGTGTTGACTCTTGTTATTGTTTAATTAAAAGTTTATTTTAAAATCAAGCTGAAGTTGAAGTTGCCAGCAGTAACGTGACGTAGGATCTAGAATCTAGATAAACCATAATTACAACAATACAAAATGCGGTGATCTTATACTTTAGCACGTTAAATCCCCAAAGTCTACTAATCTCCGACTCAGACCTTCAATACTTTGAACTGGAAAAATGCGCAAACAGCCTTGCCTTAGGCCTGCCTAATTTTTTCTCGAACAGATCAGATGCGCAGATAAACTGAGATATGGTACATTGGTTTTTGGTCTTCCATCATCCTTTTGGAAGTCATTGAGTATAATCTAGATCTATATCTAGATCTAGATTAGGTCTAGATTTAATAGCGGTTGCTCGTTACGGAAGTCCTCAATTGAAGAATTTAACGTGCTAAAGTTAAAGACAAAGTAGATCACCCAAAATGCCAACAAGTCAACAGTTCAAGAAGTCAAAGTTGTGAAGAACAGTTCAGAAGAGTCCAGTGCGAGTGGATGTCAGGGTAGGATAGGCCAGAATCTAGATCTAATTTCTAGTTTGAATACCTTCAAGAAGAGACTTTGGTCTCGATTCCATCAGATTCTGAAAGTTATCCTTCAAAAATATAGGTTAAATCAATTTAGCGAAAAGTGGTCGCTATCATGAAATCAAATACGCCGCGACGGTTGCTGACTTGCTGCTTTCTGTGTCAAATTTAACGGAAGACGGAAGTGGATTGAGGATCTTCGTCACATGATTATTTCGCACAAAATGACCATACATTCTTTTCCTCGCTTTATTGGTTACTCCAAGGTATCGAATAAAAAAAGCGGGGGTGTGTCCAAAATTAATAAACGAG